TCCTGCTGTCTGAGCCACACGGCCCGTGGAGCTCTGTCAGGGCAGCTCTATGATACTCAATGAAGGAAAAGGCAATAAAAACTACCATCTGATTTCCTGGCCACTCCCTGCTCCCTGCTCCCCAGCCCCTGGTGGTGGTGGAGGTTGGCTGTGTCCGCAACGTAGCCTCTGTGCTACCCGAGGCTGACATCGCGCTCTCTCTGCCCAGTCCTGTGCCAACCAGCGCACCCTGTGGTCGGAGGGAGGCGTCAGCATGGGGAGAGACCCAGTGTCCACGTGAGGCAACGTGACAGCCCTCAGGCATGGAACAGGAGCGTGGCCCCTTCAATTGCTTGCTCTCCTAAACCACTCAGGGAAAATCAGTAGTTGGGGGTGGGAAGTGGGAGTGGTGGACAGGACTCCTCCCCCTCAACACGGCGGACACTAGGGATTCGGGGGTGGGGGGCTGTCCTATCCCTTGTAGGAATGCTGTGCAGCACCCCTGGCCACTACCCCCACTGCACGTCATAGTAGCTTCCCCCACCAGTTGTCACAGCTACAAATGTCACACTCGAATCACCCCAGAGTACAGGTGGGTTTGAAGAACCGGACTGAGGCCAGGCCTCACAGTGACCCAGCAGAGTGAGAAACCCGGACCCCAGTGTGGTCATTCCATGACCCCTGTCTCTGGGGTCCTTTTTCAGTGCCCTGGCTTGGTGGAGGCGGGGTGGGAGGGACTTCCTGGTACCTCTGGAGGCAGGTCCTGTGGGAGGAGGCAGGGCCAGGAGTTGGGGGATGAAGCTACAGAGTCAGGTCTGCCTCAGTGCACCCCATGGTCTCTGGCAAATGCCCTCCCACCCCACGCCTGGGTATAAAACGGGGGAGAAGCGTCAAATCCTTGTGTGTCCACTCAGACTCCAAAAAGGCCTTGTTGGGACACCTTTTATTTTTTTATTTGCTGTAGGGCGCGTGTACTCACCAGAGACAGACAGAGGAGAAGTGAGAACGCACCCTCCTGGGGGGGGGGGCACACTGCAACCTGTTCTTCATTCTCTTAGAATTTGGGCACAGACACACACGTGCCCAGAGTGTTCTGAAGTGTGTAGTCAGCCATGTGGGACCCAGGTGCCTCAACCACCTTGCTGCTGGTTGGCCCCACTGGGGGCCACCATTTTGCATTGGGAGTCTATTTTTTTTTTTTAAGAATTATTATCTAATTTAATTTAATTGATCCTTTTTTTTTTAGAGAGAGAGATTTTTGCTATAGGGTGTGTGTGCTCGCTGGAGAGACAGAGACAGACAGAGAGACAGAAAGTGAGAAATCACCCCTTGGGAGGATGACCATATCGCAGTCCCTTCTCCATTCTCCTCTAGGGATCTTAGGCACCCCATGCACGTGCCCAGCATAAATTTTAAGCTGCCAGGTTCAGGATTCAAACTGTGGCCAACTATGTGGGAGTCCGGCAACATAACCATTTACACCATCTGCTGGTCCCTATCATCATTATTTTAAAATCTGCCATAGGGCACGTGTGCTCATGGGGATAGGGGCACTGAGAAAGCAAGCCACCAGGTCCAGGACTCAAACCACAGTCAGCCATGTGGGAATCCACTGCCTTAACCACCACACCACCTGCTGGCCCCTACACTAGGGGTCCTGTAAGTGTGTGTGCACATGATCCGTGAGCATGTACATGTGCATGCATGTAGTAGATAGCTATCAGAAGCTGGGCAGAGGGAACCAGCAGTTAGCATAATGGCTATGTCGCTGGACTCCCCCGTAGTCGACTGCGGTTCACGTCCCGGACCTGGTGGCTTAAAACTCACGCCGGGCACGTGTGCATGCATGCCCACGATCCCGAGAGGAGAATGGAGAAGGGATTGCGGCGTGGCCATCCTCCCTTGGGGGGTGATTTCTCGCTTTCTGTCTCTATGTCTCTCTCTGTCTGTCTGGCGAGCGCATGTGCCCTATAGTGAAACCTCTCCAAAAAAATTAAAAGAAGCTGGGCAGAGAACAGTTCCAGGGAAAGGACACCCAGGTCCTGCCACACAGGCCCCCAGGC